TAGTAAAGGGATATCGTTAAATGACATTTTACATAAAGGGCCCACAATACAATCAGACTTGTTTTCGATACTATTGAAATTCCGATGTTTTCGGTATGTTTTATGCGGGGACATAACTAAAATGTACAGGCAGATAGTAATGCATGAAGATCATACCCCATTACAGACCATTTTGTGAAGAGAAACTACTAGTGTACCCCTAAAATCATACGAATTAACTACATTAACTTATGGCACAAGACCAGCATCCTTTATAGCGGTTAGATGCTTACACCAATTAGCAGAAGACGAAAAAAATGAATTTCCATTGGCGGCTAAAGTGGTAGTGGAGAATTTTTATATGGATGATCTTTTAATCGGTGCTGAAACTATAGACGAGGTCATGGAAATAAAAAAGCAGGTAACTGAATTGTTAAAGAAAGGAGGTTTTGAATTACATAAGTGGAATAGTAATATCGGTAGACTGAAGAAAGATACCGCAGAAGGCATAGTAGAGTGATCGAAGAAGATAGCAATCAGAAATCAAAATTATTAGGTATTCGATGGAATCCACAGGAGAATAAATTACGTTTCGTCACGCCAAATAAGAATAAAAGCAGTCGAGTGACCAAACGCGCTATATTATCGGAAATCTCTAGATTTTGATCCACTAGGACCGGTGATAACTTTAGCAAAGATCTTAATGCAGAATTTATGGTCTTGGAGAGTGGGATGGGATGATTCGGTACCCGTAAGCATCCAAAACTCATGGTCGATGATCAGATCACAATTATCTACTCTAGAATTGATAGACATAAATAGGTTAATGATTGACACCAACGAGGTAGATCAAATCGATTTGCACGGTTTCAGCGATGCTAGTGAGCAGGCCTATAGGGCTTGTATTTATATAAGATGCAGGAACTTAAAAGGAAATTACCATATGGCCCTGGTTTGCTCTAAGTCAAGAGTCGCACCTTTGAAAGCCTTGTCATTGCCTAGATTAGAATTATCGGGTGCATTGTTATTAATACGATTAATGAATAAGGTGGTGGCTAGCTTGGGAGTGAAGGTGCAGAGGAAACACTATTGGACCGACTCACAAATTGTGTTGGTATGGGATAGGATCACCAGCCAAAAGGTGGCATACATTTGTCGCTAACAGAGTAAGCGAGATACAAAGTAGTTCATCCCCTTGTGAATGGCGGCATGTGATCTCGAAAGATAATCCGGCCGATTTAATATCGAGAGGATATTACGCCGGAGCAATTGAAAAATTCAACTCTGTGAGAGGGCCCTAGTTGGCTGAAATCAATGAATGATTTTCCTAGATATAGTAGCGTTATTAATATAAATAGTGATGTGCCCGAGAAACGCGAAAAAACATTTGTTGTGTTAGCGCAGAAGTGCGAACCTGTAATAGAATTTGAAAGATTTTCATCTCTGTTAAAATTACTACGGGTCGCGGCTTATGTATTAAGATTCATGTATAGTTTAAAGCGTAGCAAAGAAGTGTATAGATTAGGAAGTATATCTGCTTTAGAATTATGAAGAGCGCGAAACTTATTAGTAGGATTGGTACAAGCTGAAGTATGGCCATCGGAAATAAAAAGACTAAACAACAAAAAAGAGGTGGAAAAAAGA